TCCAAAATCTATTGAATAGATAAGATGTTTTTCAAAAAAAAAAAAAAAAAATTTTTTTTTAAAAAAAAAAAAGGTTTTTTTTTTTTTTAAAAAAAAAAAAAAAAAAAAAAAAAAAAATCATCAACAACAAAAATCAGCAAAGTTGCAACATTTTTTTTCTGAAATGATAATGAAAATTCAAAACAAAACAAAAAAACCGGATTTAATTAAATTATTAGCATCGATTCAAAAAGTAAAACTAATAAAAATAAGCTCATATGGCTCCCTGTGTGTGTGTGTGTGGGTGATTATCATTCATTTTGAAAATGGATCAAATGATAAATCATGAATGGAATGATTGAATGATTGAAATGAATGATTGAAATGAAAATAGATAGTTTTAAAAAAAGCAATTATAATCGATAATAATATGCACACCTACGCAAAACACCCAAAACACAACGATAATGATTATAATAATAATAATTTTTCATATAATAAAGAATATCTTTATAAGCAAATGTTATTTTTGTTGTTTGTTATTTGGTTTTTTTTTGGTTTTTTGGTTTTGCTAGGCCGGAAATTCAATTTCATTATACCCTTAAGCAGTTGGATTTCGTTGTTTTGTTTATTATTGAAGAAGAAAAAATTCATTAAATATCCTTCTCTCTCTCTCTCTCTTTGAATAATAATGGATCGGATAACACAGAGAATATAATGGATTATTGTAAAAAGCGAAAGCGAAACAACAAATGAAAAATACATTTCCGCATTTGTCCAAACTTAAACTTTTCATTTGTTTCATTTTAAATAAGGCCTTCATTATAAATGCCATCTTAATCCGTAAAAAAAATTGAATTTTTTGGTTTTAAAATTTTCAACTGCAAAAAAAAAAAAAAATTATAAACAAAATGAATTGTGTGTGTTTGTGTACATAAAGGGCGGTTTATCTTGCTTTTAGTTTATGGTTTTTTGAATGATAAAAAAAAATTATCAAGAATTTTATCATTTTTTTTTCTTAAAACTTTTATAAATTTTCTTTAATCTAATTATAACTACATAGAATATTTTCTTCTTTCAAGTCTGCAAAATTAAATTATCGATAACAAAACAAAACAAAACAAAACAAACTAATCTGGGCAATCAATATCATTGAAAATCAATCAATCAATCTAATCAATATTGATTACAATTGAATTCATTTCTATTGTAATCAAGTTTCTTAACACTGTTTCTGTTTCATTACTTTTTTTTCTGATTTTTATTTCGATAATCGATCCCCACACACACACACACACAAACTCCATTCACAATCTTTACATCTTTTGATTTTTTGAATCGAAACAAGAATTCCCCTCAACGACGACCGAATGTAAGTATATCGTGCAACTGGTGATGATTTTCTAAATGTTGCAGGGTGCAAATTTCAACCAAAATGAAATGTTTTCGATTTACTTTTTTAAACCAACAAAAATGATTAAAGGAAAGAAAAAAAGAAAGAAGAAAAAACAATTTTCCAAATGAAACGATCCAAGTTCAATGAAATAATTTTGTTTGTTTTTTTCTTTTTCGTTTAAGTTTCATTTACTTTTGTTTCATTTCTTTTTTCTCCCTTCACCAAACACACACACACAAACACACCAACACCATAGATAAATTGAAACATTTTCAGGTAAAAATTTTTCTGGAAAATTCAAAAATTCACAATAAAAAACACCATATTCAAAAAAGAAAACAAAAGAAAAATCTTAATTAAAAATTTTTTTTTCGTGTGAAATTTTTCACTCAAAGATCGATACGGGTTATTGCCATTCTGGTTGGTTTTTGTTTTATTTGATAGAAAAAACTAGAAAACAGGAACAAAAAAAAAATTAAACAGACAGACTATTTGAAATGTATGTTTTGTTTGGTGAAAAAATTTATAAAAAAAATTCAATAAAATAATTATTATGGCAAATTTAGATGATAATGAATGAATGAATGATGGATTAATATTGACTACATAATAGAACAAGTTCACGTGCAATCTGTAAATCATGATAATGATTCGATATTTCTAATTTCATTTCACCATCAGTTAGATTGATTGGTAGAAAATCATGTGTCATTGATGGATGACGATGATGATGATTTGTATTCGGTTGATGTGATGATGATGAACAAGATGAATTTCCTGTATTATTTCCAGTTTGATTAGTTGTTGTTGTTGTTGTTGTTAATAATAATCTTGCTAATGGTGGTTGTAATGATGTTGATGATTGCTGATCATTTGTTAATTGTTTTTGTGATAAATCATTATTATTATTACCAGAATCACAATGGCTAACATTATTATCTGTAGAATTTAATGCCGATAATGTTGGTTGATTTTGTAAAGATGAATCATTTGATTCGCCAAATAAATTTGTCGATTTAATTGGTGTTGTTGGTGGTAGTGGAGGTGGTGGAAGTAAACTAGGCATAACAACATCCGAACTGATACCAAAATTTTCTGGTGATGTTGCCGATAATGTTGAACTTGATGTATGAATAGCATATGAATCTTTTTGTTCAATATCTTTTTCAATTTTTTCCAATTTTTGTTGTATAATATCCATATTTGATAATAATTGTTGTTGTTGTTCTTCAATTTCGGCTATTTCATCATTATTAAATTTTTCACTGTGTTCGATTAGAGAAATTTGAAAAAATCGATTACCAAATCTATAATCAACAAAAAAATAGTGACTTACCGTTGTTGTTGAATTTTATAATTCAATGCATGTAAATTAACCATACAATCATAAAGTGCTGATGATAATTGATTTGTTGCACGAAGATGTTGTAGATCATCATCTTCATCATCATTATCTTCAGGATCTGAATCCATTGGCCTATGATGATGATGATGATGATGTAGAACAATATCCATTTCTGAACCAAAAAATCCATTATCAATCATTTCAGATTTTTTCATTCCAATACCCATCGATGATTCTTGAAGTTTTTGTTGTTGTTGTTGTTGGTGTTGTCCATTTATATAATTCATCATTGGATTCATAAATTTATTATTAACAGATTCCATATTTTTAATCATTCCATCATTTAATCCAAACATAGCCGATGTAAATTGTGGTGGTTGACCATTTTTTAGCCAATGATTTAATTGATAGGAATTTTGTTGTGTTCGTACACTTTTCGGTGCTTGACGACAAAATTGACAAAACTACAAGATTTGGGAGCAAGAAAAAAAAAATCAAATTTTATTGAATTTTGAATAAAAACACTTACATAACCACTTGGTGGAACATCATTTTCACTATGAAAACCAGCACAAGATCCATGTTGCCATGCTAAACATAACTGTATTTGGGAGAAATTTTAATTTTTTTTTCACTGATAATCAAATTTCAAATCATCATCATCGCTTACCTCACATTGAACCATAAGGCCACTTTCTTCATCCAATGGACAAATACATTTAACAAATTCTTCAATATTATCATTTTCATGTTCTTCAGCTTCTAATTTTGCATCTTTAAATAATAATGTTGTATTTGGTTTTGTTGATGATCTTCTTGACCATCCAGGTAATATTACTGTTAATGATTTCATTGTTGATGATTTTGTTTGATTATGATGGTTATTGGATTTTGGTGAATCAACCGATTCACCTGAATCATGATCTTGTTCTAGTTTTATTTTTTTACCAACAACAATTGAATCATTTGATTGTGGTGATGGTGTTGATTCATTATTTTTACGTTTTCCACGATCTAAAGATTCGTTGATGTTTATAGCATCTTCACTTGAATCATGTGTTTCGGTTTTAATTTTCGAAATTCGAATATCATCACCAGAATCTAATGTTTTCGAATGTTTATCATGTTGACGATTTGTTTTATGTATACGTAGCTGTGGTGGAACTAATGATGGTACATCATCACCTAATTCTGTTTTATGAAAATGTTTTTTATGCTGTAATAAAAGACTTTCTTTACGAAAACCTTTCTGACATATATCGCATACAAATGAATTATTAAATTTTTGCATTGATTCAGGTGTTTCAAGATTTAACCCTGGTGTCATCGATGGTGTTGTTGGTAATGATGATGATGTAATCGGTTGAATTGGTAATAATGGTGGTGGTGGTGGTATTTGTTCACCTTCATAATTATCGGGCATTTTTTGTAATGAACTAACTTTAACTTTTTTACGATAACCATCATAAAATAAAACTTGACAATATTGTCCTTTACTATAAAATGTTGTTATCCGTGCTGGATAATATTTCTGATCAGTCCAACGTGCTAATATTTCTTCATTCAAATCAAATTTCGTTGATTTTTGTGCCATCATTTGATTAGAATTTGATTGATTCAATGTATCACTACGTGGACGAATCAAATCCGTATCCATACAAAACCATTGATCATATCGTTTTCTATAAGTTATAATTAAATCAAAAGATTGACAAATTAATAATTTTTTTCAAAAAAGAAATCAAAAATTGAAAAAAAAGAAACATTTCTCGCGATGCTTGTGTATCGAAAATCGAACTTCGATGTTTTTTTCCATTTTTCAATATATACAATGCAATGGACGAAAACATCGATTATATTAAACACACATGCGAGCGATGCGGCGGCATGGCTACAGGATATCTACCGATATCATCATAATTACCGGACATTTTCGTATTTTAATTGTCAGAATTATTTTAATTATAAAAAAATTCCACTTACTTCCAACGTAAAAAATGTATTTTAACTTTATCATTTTTTATTTCAACAATTTTAGCTGGATACCAATTTCCTTGTATATCACATGCTTCTAATGGTTCTGTTAATGACCAACGACAATTATTATGTTTTTGTAATTGTTCGGAAATTGTTTTATCAATAATATTATCATCAACAGCATCATTATCATTATCATCCAATTCTTTTTGATTATCTGATTTTATTGTTGATTTTGATGGTAAATTATCGATAACAGTGGATTTACGTGTTGTTGTTGTTGTTGTTGTCGTAGTTGATGATTGTTGTTGTTGTTGATTAAATAGATTTGATGTTGAACGACGTTGACGTCGTTGTGCTAATGTAGCTTCATTATTAATCGATTTATTATCGGCGGTCGAGGTTGGCGTAGAATCCGCCATTTTTTTTTAAAGAAATTCAAATAATTTTTAACTAAATAAAATTGATTAAATTCATTCGAAAGAAAAAAACATGATGCAATGCAGAATACATGATGATGATGATGATGATAACCAGAAAAAAAAATCACGAAGAGAGAAAAAAACAAGATCTGAGAGAAAAAATTTGGCGCAAACTCCAAATCAAAATAATAAACTCAACAAGAATATTGGTTTTTGTTTGAAAGAACCAGAAAAATTCCACCCTCTCTCTCTCTCACACACACAAAGCATGCTCAAATTTGACACATTTTTTTTTTTGGTTTAGCATCCCGTTCATAGACACTAGGATGAAAATTGTTGATTTTTACTTTCTTTTTCAATATTGTTTGATTTGTTTTAATTTTGAGAAGAAACAAAAAAAAAATGGATTCAACATTCGAAGTTTTAATTAAAGGTTAGTTCAAATTATCATTTTTTCTTCCACTGTGATGATAATATGATTAATCCAATCTATAGCTATCATGGCAAATGATGATCTAAAAAAGCGGGAAAAATTTATTCGTCGTAATTCAAAAAAAATTGTTCCATTAGTACAATGGCTTTGTAAAACAATTTTTTCATTAGAAACAAATGATGATCATTCGAATTTGGAAAGGAAAAAATCTCGTAATGAAAAAGATGAATCAACAACAACAAATTCATCAAATGATTTAGTTGGATTTTCATTAGATTGTGTACTGATCATAAGTTCAGCTGCAGCTTCTACAACCGACAATGAAAAACAAATTTCCGAACAAATATCTCAAGCTGTTATGAATGAAAAAGATTTTCTTCATTACCTTAATGATCATATTATCAATGAACAAACCATGGATTTTGATCGACATTTAGGCATTTTGGTTAATTTTACTCGACACATTCTATTCGTCGAATCATTAGTCGAAAATGTTCTTAATCCATTTCCATTGGATAAATTTATTAACGGATTTCAAACAAAATTTCAATCTAATCATTGTCAAAAATCATTAATGACCGCATATCTAAATAATCTTTGTCAATGTGAAAAAATTCGTAATCGATTGATTGATGGACGATATTTACATTCATTTATGGCCATTTATGATCATTATCAACAATCAACAGATATGGATCATATTCAATTACGATTATCAATTATTGAATTAATACGTAATTGTTGTTTAGATTATCATTGTCATGAACGATTAATTTCAAAAGAAGATCCTGATCTACTTGTACGTTTAGTTATGCCATTAGCTGGTGGTGAAGAACTTTCGGATGATGAAATGGAATCATTACCATTAGATTTACAATATTTACCTGATGATAAAAAACGTGAATCGAATCCGGATATACGTCGACTGTTAATCGAAACTATACATCAATTTTGTTCAACAAAATATGGTCGTGAAATAATACGTTTTACAAATATTTATTATCATTTACGTGAATATCATCGTTGGGAAAAACAAGAAGATAATATTGAAACATTAATGCGTTTGATTGATGTTATAATTAAAAAAGAAGAAGAAATAAATGTTGATAATCTTCGTGAGCTGGAAATTCCACAGGATTTATTGGAAAAATTCGAACGTTTAGATCATGATGATGATGGCAAGGAATGATTACTGATTTACTGTATTCGAAGATAATTAAATAAAAGCCTGTTTGTTGTTTTTTATAAAGATTTTAATTCAATTTTTATTTATTACAATAAATTAAATTTAAAAAAAACAAACATACAATATTTACATGATTTAAATCGGCTAGAATGATGATGATGATGATAAAATGGTGATAAATTCTACAAACAACGAAATGGTCCTTGATGGTTGGCCACCCCTGATCGATCAAATTTCTAAAATTTTTGATCATATTGTATTTATTAATTACGATATTTTTTATTATATTTTTTAAACATTATTACGTCCAGTTTGTGAACTTAATGCATTCACAATTGTTCGTATGACGGGTAGATTCAATATGAAACCAATAACAGGCACATGTGATAGGAATGAAATTGTAGCCGGAATAAAACCACGAAATAATAATAAAAAACCATATGATTCAAGAATCATACCGATAATTGGCCAACCAAACAATACGATTATAATACCGGAAAAAAATGATGTTGATGCTTTCCATTTATGACGTTGAAAGAAAAACCAAAATGTTCGTTCCAAACCGATTATAAAACCCAAACCAGATATAAATAATAGATTACCAACAGCTAATAAACCTTTATCGAATAACATTAATGTTCCTAACATTAGGAATGCAATACCAAAACCAGAAAGGCCAAGGCCAATTTTTTGTGTATCCGATAACATTGTTTGAATATTTTTTTTCTTATTGTTGAAATATTGTTTCAAATAACACCAAGTTTGTTGACCTTGTTGATGCAAATTTTTCGTTTTTGTTGTTGTTTTAAGGTTGACCTTTTATTTCCAACAACAAATTAGGTCAATAGAAAAACACCCTCAAACACACAAACACAATAGGAAATTAGGTACACAAAATTCGTATTTAATGAAATGAAATGAACAAGGAAAAATCATTGATAAAAAATGAATGATTTTGTTTAAATTGAAAAAAAATCGAAAAAATCACATCCCCTTTTTATTATCACTCGCAATATAAATTGAAGTTTATGCAACGTGTGTGTGTGTTTGCCTGTTATGTTCATGGCGAACCAACAAGGTCGATATAGTGATTTGAAAAAAAATTTTTTTTTTTTTGTTTAAAATTTTTATTTTATCATAATTTCAATGAATTCAATGCTTTTTGGACGATTTAAATCACATTAAACTCTTATTCTTCGTTTTTTTAGGATAGAATCATTTCATAACATAAAAAACTTCAGGTGTTTTACAATTACTTTTGATTTGACATTGCATTGGTTTTAGATCGGCTGTAAAACATAAACGAATTTCAAATAGATATGGTTGTTTATAAGAATTTTTACATTGAATTACAAACATATCGGATTGTAAGCCATCAGCTTCAATAGCGCGACGAACATCGGCAACTTTGATCAAACCACCATAATTTATACCATAATTTTTCAACATTCGATTTATATCATAACGTTCGAATAATGATAATGTTCGGTTAAAATAGTTGAATTGATTGTATCCTGTTGCACATGTTCCATGTTTTTCCCATTCATGTTTCCAAAATTGTTCATTACCGGTTAATTTTGCTGATAACCATTCTTCTTCCATTCTTGGTTTCAATCGTTGTATTTGATTTGAATCAAATTTTTCCGTTCGACAATTTGAAAGCATCGAATTATCTAAACCATTTGGCCATAAACCATGAATTGTCCAACGATTTGGTAATGGTTTTATACAGGATTTTGTTGCATTTACACAAACAGTAAATGGCCAATTTATTGATAAAACATTATAATAATTCGGATTTTTATGACGTTTTTCAATCGAATCATCACGATGATTACCATACCAAATACAACCGCCAAGAATAGTGATAATTATTACAGTGGTTGTTGAAATAGCCAAAATCTTCACATTCATCGTTCCAAAAGATTCGAACAACAACAGCAACAACAAAAACAATGAAAATCAATCGATAAAAACAACAACAAAAAAAAATCAATAACTATTTGGATGAGAAGCAAAATCAAAAATGGATGATCAAAAAATGGATGAAAATGAAAATCTACATCGTTTTTTTATAAAAATTTGTTACAATTTTACAATGATGACGTTTTTAACCCTCAAGTGATCATCTACTTTGGCATCCGTGATTATCAAATCACTTTTTTTTGTTTTTGTTGATAAAATTGCGATTTAAAACAATAATTATTGTCTTTTTTCCTCGGAATCATTATCATATCTATTTATTTCATTAGAAAAAATCTATTTGATTTGCATAAATAATGGACATATACAACAAAAAAAATTTTACAGGTAAATCTTGATTAGATATCATTATCATCATTTTAATTAATTTAATTTAATTAACAGCAAACAACAACAACCGATAATAAATAAATGCCGATTTTGATTCACTGCTCACTATCAACAACAACAACAACAACAACAATATCAAAATAAATCTGGATAAATAACCATTTGTTGACCAAAACAACCATTTGGTGATTCATTTGTATATGATTGACGATCAAAACATTCGTTTGGTATTGAAACTTGTTTCTCTTTATCATCATCCGTTATGGTTATAACAGTAAAACACATTCGTATTTCTTCCAATAAATATAAATACTGTATTGATTCATTGTCATCATCATTATTATTTATAATCGATTTACAAACAAATTCAAACATTGATTCATTCCATTGATGATCTTTATCCGTTTGTTTTGGATCATTATTAAATTTTTGGGCCAATGTTTTAGCTAAAATATTTAAATCAATTAATTTCGTTGAATTTGGTTCAATTTTTTCGGATAATTTTTCTGTTAATGGATAATTTTCATCCAATTCCATAATCTTTGCAAAATAATCTGATTGTTTTCCATTATAACATCGACCATATTTTTGCCATTCATTTGACCATAATTGTTCATTATGATCAAGTTGATCTGCTGTTGTTTTGATTTTATTATAATTTTGAAACAAATAATTATTTAACGATTTATCATGTGCTTTAGTAGTCGGTATTTCAGTCGGTTTGTCTGTTGGTTTGTCTGTTGGTTTGTCTGTTGGTTTTTCTGTTGGTTTTTCAGTAGGTTTTGCTGGTAATTGATCCAAATTTGGCCAATGTTGTTCAAAATATTTTTTCATATTTTCATCAATCGATTTTGGTTCAAAATCATTTTGTTCATGTTGACAATTTTTTTGTATATTTTCACCTTCAATACCGATCATTAATCCATTCACTAACCATTGTTTTTGTTTACTAAAATCATTATTACATTGTTTAGCAAGGCATTTTGTAATTGGCCATTGTCTTGACAAGATAAAATATTGTACAGGTTCTTGTTTATGTCTCCATAATCCAGCAGCCAAACCAATCAATATAAATATTATCATAAAACCAATAAAAACAAGAAGGCCTAGGAAAAACCATCTTGCACGTCTTGATTCACCATTATATGATGGTGGACAAAATATATCATTCAAACTATAGTTGGCCATCGATGTTATCAATTGAGTTTTTCATCAACTATTTCCACTTTATCAACAAGAAAAGTTTCACAAAGAATTTTTTTGGAACAACAAAAACAAAACAGAAAAAATTCTGAGATCCAAATGATGGTGATGAAGTTAAGAATGAAATTTTTTTTTTTGTTTTCTAACAAAATAAAATAAGCAATGTTACAACCTTTTGGTTGATTTGAAACAAACAAAAAAAAACATTATTATTGCGGTTTTATCTTTGGTTTTCATTGGTTACCGGGATCATTATTATCACTCTTCACTCGTCATTGATTAAATTGCTTGTTTGTTAATGTGGTTAATGGATTATTACCAATCTCGTAACCAATCACAAAGGTAATATATCTCTCGAAACAATGAAATGTATCATATCCGAAATGGAAAAAGAAACAAGTGTAATTAACTTTAAAAAAACTGGATTTGGTTTTCACCATGGTAATCGATGATGGCGATAACCAAGTAAGGATTCAAAAAACGGATCAATACACGATTGAAATCAATTTTGTAATTTTTTTGTTGTAACAAAATGATAAACTTTAGCCAAAAAACAAATTACACATTCGATTGGAATTTTAATTAATCGATCGATTGATTGATTGATTGAAATGGATTTTTATTTGGAAAACAAAAATTTGAATCGAAAAATAGTGCAAGGAAAAAGTTTATTTGTTTTCGCGTATACAGAAAATTCACTACTTCAAGGATAGAAGATTATTCTTATTAGTTTTCAAGAATTTTTAAAATCCAATATAATAAAAACTATCTGGACATGATGATTGCATTGTACAATATGATGGTTGATCTAAATGATGAAATGAAATACAAAGCCATATTTCTTCTAAATATGATTCATTATTATGATTTTTACAATTTAAAACATAATTATGATTTTCATTTGGATAACCTTTTCGTATGATTGATTCACGTAATGCATATTCAAATTTTTCACGTAAATATTTTTCATTTGATCTTGGTACAATATTTGAATCCAATAATATTTTATCTAAATTAAATTCATTATTTAGATTTAGGGTTTGATTGAAATAATCAAATTGTTTCATTTGTGAACATGTTCCATGTTTAAGCCATTCATGTTTCCAAAGTGAATATTCGGTTTTATTTTCCAACAAGTTTGGCCAAATATTTAACATATTTTCACGTATTGGTAATAATAATGTTTGATTTAATGGTTGATTCGAACAAAATTGATCCCATGTATTATCATTATTTTCGGGCCACAGACCATGTATAACCCAACGATTATATTGTTGAACATCATGACGACAAACATCCGTACCATGACAAACGGTTGGTGGCCAACGTCGTACAAACAATAAATATTTATAATTTTGTGAATATGTTATAAATAATGACATAAACATTATAAATAAACCAGTTAATAATAATATCATAGCAACATATAGGAAAAGATTAATCAAACGACGACGTCTTGAACCTTCACTATGAAATACATAAATATATTCAGGTCTTAAATTTAAAATATTTCGTCGATAAATATTATTATGATTATCATAATTATTATTATTAAAACGATTATCAGCAATTAATGGTGTAACATCATTATAAATTGGTGGTGGCATATAACCATTTGATGTTCGATAAACATAATCATTGTTATTCATGTTTGTTTGTTGTTGTTGTTGACCATCATTATTTTCGTTTTTATTCATCATTTTCTTTTTGGTTAGGATTCGAAGAAAAAAAAATAAAGAATCAAGAAATTCTCAACAATCAGGTGTGTATTGCAAACAATATTTTTTCCGACTCAATATATTTTGATAAAACAGCGACGCACAAACTTGGAAAAAAATGAATGAATGGATAATTGCCAACAACGGCGACGACGGCGAAGTCAGAAGAAAACAATGATCAATGTCAGTGGTAAACGACAACATCAACAAAAACGTTCGAAAAATAATCATTTTTGGAGCATTTATTATGAAATTGCCAATGAAATTTGATCACGTGAATTGTGTAATATATTTTCTATCCAACAAAAATAGTCTCCTCCCAGTTAGACAAAAGTATATTCCCAAAAAAGAAAAAATTAATACCCTTTTTTCTCTGGTTTTGTTAATATATAATAAATTCAGCTGGTTTTTCATTGTTTATTTTTTTCATTTTTTTAAAAATAATTATTTTTGTTATTTAAAGAATGAATTAACATTTGTTTTAGGAATTAAATCCAATCATCATCATCATCATCATTCTTCAATCAATATCCCCAATCAATTATCAGATAAACACGTGTTTGATAGATTTATGTTCTTCCAAAGTTTAACCAACGATATTGATTATGATTATGATTAATTCCATTCAATTCAGGTAATCTTTCAATCCAAAAAACATTCATTTATCGCTTAATGATATGAATAAATAACGAAAAACAAGCAAAATGAATAAACAGAGCTGAACAAAAAACTGCCAATTCATCATTTATTCGATTTTTTTTCCAATGGAAAAAATTAATTAATAAATTCTTGTTGTTGTTGTTTTCTTTCCTTTCTATATCTGTTAAAATTAGACTAACAATCAATTAAATCTATCTGTAAATACTCGACAAGTGTCGAAAACAACAACAACAACGACTACGAAGAAAAAAAAAAGAGGAAATTGTGAAATCAAAAATTGGCTTCCCAGAAATTATCGTTTATAGTCACATATCATTGATAATAATAAAAAACGACGTACCCAACTTGAATTTTGTTTTCATCATCATCATCATCATTTGAATTCGAACAACAAACCTTTGGATTTTGAACCGAATCAATTAAGAAGGGAGAAAAAAACACATCAAGAGCTTTTTTTTAAAAAAAACAGTAAAACTTCTTATCAAATTCAATTCAATTTTCACTTTTTTTTTTGTTTCAATTGAACAATGTCATTAATGGAAAAAATTTATTCATTATCATCATCATCATTTGATTGTGTGTTTTATAGTTGATGATGATGATAATATTTATGTTTGGTGGTGGTGTGATTTTTTTTCAGAAATAGTTTTGTAATGTTGCTGGTGATGACTGGATTATAAAAATTCATTCATATAATTTATTTTGGCTGCAAAAAAAAACAGTTTATCGAATTATACTCCCAAAACAGAATTTTGTTTGTTTTGATTCGATTTTTTTTTATTTACCGTAATTTCAAGAATTATTTTGTAAACAAACAAACAAACAAAAACAAACGACTGAAAAATAATCAAATAATAATGTCAATAAAACCGGCTGCCTTTGCTGGCGATCCTGAATCGTTAGCTGAATTATCACAATGTGATTATTCATTACGTATAACATTAGAATCGGCAAGAAATGGTCAAATACCATCGAATCGTAAAATTCGTGTCTATGCTGATGGTATTTATGATCTATTTCATGCTGGTCATGCTAGACAATTGATGCAAGCTAAAAGTGCATTTCCAAATGTTTATCTTATTGTTGGAGGTTTGTTTTCGTTTTGTTTAATTTGTTTGATTAATAATTTTGTTTTTGTTTTTTCACAAATAGTGAATAGTGATTATTTAACAAATAAATTCAAAGGTAAAACTGTTATGAATGAAACTGAAAGATATGAAGCCGTTAGACATTGTCGTTATGTTGATGAAGTTGTACGTGATGCACCATGGATTTTAACTGATGAATTTTTATCCGAACATAAAATTGATTTTGTTGCACATGATGATATACCGTATACATCAAATGATTCGGATGATGTTTATACATTGATTAAACAACGTGGAATGTTTTTGGCTACAAAACGTACTGATGGTATATCAACATCAGATCTGGTTGCACGTATTGTACGTGATTATGATGTTTATGTTCGTCGTAATTTGGCACGTGGTTATACTGCAAAAGAATTGAATGTTTCATTTTTGAATGTAAGTTTTTTTTTAAAAAAAATTCATTCATTTATATTCATGATTAAATTGTCAAATATGATTTATTTTGGTTTGTTTGTCTCGAATATAGGAAAAAAAATTTCTATTACAAAACAAAATGGATGAATTAAAAGATAAGGGAAAATTATTGGTTGAAAATTTAGGACAAAAACGACATGAATTTATACAAAAATGGGAAGATAAATCGATTGAATTTGTTAATAGTTTTATTGAATTATTTGGACCGGATGGAACATTGGTTTGTTTTTGTTTTCATTGTTGATTTTCAAATGAGAAAAATATAATTAAAATTTTTTTTTTTCAAAATAGAATACAATTTGGAATCAATCGACAGGTCGAATAAAACGTGCCTTATCACCATCACCATCACCATCGAGCTCTAGTCCAGAACATCGTTCATATCGTCGTCATCGTAATATTGATAATGATGATGATGATGATGATTCATCATCATCATTACATGATTTGAATATTGGATTTTCTGGCTTTTCCGAAGAAGATGATTTTCTAAATGATAATAAACGTTCATTACATAAATCATCATCATCATCATCATCACCACCAACAACAACAAAACGATCAAGAATTGATTCAAAATCAACAAGAAAATCACCAAAAACAAGATCAACAAATGTAATTGATGAATATTCGGATAATGATGATGATGATATGATTGTAACGAAAAAACAAAATAATCATGAAGAATCTTTAAAAAATAATCATAGTAGTAGTAGTAGTAGTAATAATAATAATAATAATAAAAATCCTAACAACAAAATCTCAACAAATGGAGGATCAAAACAACGACGAACGAAACATTAGGGAAACAAAAAACATTTAGGAAATACAAAAACAAAACAAAAAAAATTCGGTTTTCAAACATTATCACTTTTTTTTATTATTTGGTTAACACATTGGAGAATCATAGGGGGAAAAAAATTTTTGTTTGTTTCAAACTACAAAATCATTTATCAAAAATACATTTTTCTCTCACTCTCTCACTTATATTTTATACTATTATTATTTTGGATGATTAATAAATTCTATTCGAACGTTATTTTTGTCATTTCGATATTCTCCTCAAGAAAAAAAAAATCAAACTTTCAAATTTTTTTTTAAATAATCTTTTTTTCTAAAAATAGCGAAAAAAAAATTATAAACATTTTTAGGAAAAAGTTGTCAAACGAATTAATCGATAGTATCGATTTTTTTTTCGTTTCGATAGGGGAAATGAGCAACGAAAAAATAATTAGAATAATGATTATTTTGCTTTTTGTTTTGGTTTTTTTTTCGGTTAAAATGAAAAATTGATTTTTATTTGTTTTTTTTTCAGTTACACAATCTGCTCTTGATGATTATAATGATGATAATGACATAGTAAAAATATAATGGCAGCATATTTTGTTGACATTGATTATTTCGAAAAAACTTATGTCAATCGTATATGTCATTCAAACATAATAAATCTTTCTCGGAAAAAAATAATAAGAATATTATAATAAGATAAGTGATCGATTTTTTTTTTGAGTAAAGTAAAGAAAAATTAATGGTGAGAATTCTTTCAAGAATAATCATCAATCATTTTTGTTTTCATTTAAAAATGTTTAGATTTTTTTAAAATTTAAATTGATGATGTTGTTGTTGTTGTTTGTTTTTTAAAGCTTTATTTTTTTTGTCAAACAAAATAGTCATTATTTTCGAAAAGTTTTTTCGGGTTTACAACGATGATTGATAACTGTGCGAACTGTTTATGTTTCCGGATCGAAATTGCTGTTGGGGGTTAAATAATTTCCGTTATTTTTTCTGGTCAATTTATCTGATCTGTGGTTTACTGGAATCGAATACTGGTTTTCACTCCCCCACCCCTTACTCATTCGGTGACCAAAAAATCATTCAACCGATTAATGAAATGAATAAAATTGATGCGGAAGATGTTTTTTGACAACAATGAAAAAAACCTGAAAAATTTGAATTTTTTGATGCAATCAGGTAACATTCATCAGGAATTAATTAATTTAATTAAAAAAAATGACCAAAATTCATATGGATGAGTAATATTGAAAAGGATGCTCAAGGCAGAAATCATTCCTATGCAAGAATGATTTCATGTTGCCAGAAATGAATTTTAGCTAATTTTTTTTTTTGTACGAAAAATACAAAAATAAAAAACTTGACCAAAATCATCATCATCCGCATTCGAAAACAAACAAAAGGTGGAGATTTATTCATCCATAATTCTTGATTTGTTTTCAAGGACTGATGTTTAGCACACTAAAAAACTGATTTGTATTTTGTAAAAATTAATTCAAACATCATTCAACAAAACGCAGATATATGTGTCACACGCACATCACACATAATTTCTATTGTCCATTAATTTTATTTTTTTTTTTGAAAAAAACAGAAACAACAGAAACAGTAGAATATGTAATCAACAAAGCGAAACCATTATGATGATGACCATCATCATTATCATCCTGATTGACAAAAAAAAACATTGAAATTTTAGACGACAAAATGAAAAAAAAGATTCATTCATTCGATGATGATGATCATGATAATTAATAATAACGATGATTATCAAGTATGCAATGTATTTGAAGAAAAGAATTTGTAAAACCTTGTGATAATGTGAATTTCGTGTGTGATTTTTCTTTCTTTGTTTTTTTCTTGAAGTTTTCTTTTGTTTTTTGTTTTTTGTTTAAAAGATTTGATGAAATGATGAGATAAACAAAACAATGTCGAAAATCAAATTCTTATCATTATCCACCGGTTGGTTCAAATCAATTGGATTGATTTTGATTGTAATTAATTTATGTTTTGCCAATGTTCAATATCAAACAGCAACAACAACAACAACAACAAATCCATCATTAACATTAGAATGTCGTCAACAACAATCAAATTGTACTGATAATATTTATCCAAATCTGAATGATTCACGTTTAATGTTTCCAACTAATTTAGAACATGTNCAGAAATGAATTTTAGCTAATTTTTTTTTTGTACGAAAAATGAAAAACTTGACCAAAATCATCATCCGCATTCGCAAAACAAACAAACAAAGGGTGGAGATTTATTCATCCATAATTCTTGATTTGTTTTCAAGGACTGATGTTTAGCCAAAAAAAAAACAGATTTGCAAAAAATTAATTCAAACATCATTCAACAAAACGTAGATATATGTGTCACACGCACACATCACACATAATTTCTATTGTCCATTAATTTTATTTTTTTGAACAAAAAAAAACAGAAACAGCAGAATATGTAATCAACAAAGCGAAACCATTATGATGATGATGATCACCATCATCATTATCATCCTGATTGACAAAAAACATTGAAATTTTAGACGACAAAAAGCAAAAAAAAAAAAGATTCATTCATTCGATGATGATGATCATCATAATTAATAATAACGATGATTATCAAGTATGCAATGCAATTGAAGAAAAGAATTCGTAAAAAAACCTTGATAATGTGAATTTCGTGTGTGATTTTTCTTTGTTTTTTTTCTTGAAGTTTTCTTTTTTTTTGTTTTTGTTTAAAAGATTTGATGAAAAGATGAGATAAACAATGTCGAAAATCAAATTCTTATCAGTATCCGCCGGTTGGTTCGAATCAATTGGATTGATTTTAATAATTGTAATTAATTTATGTTTTGCCGATGTTCAATATCAAACAGCAACAACAACAACAACAACAAATCCATCATTAACATTAGAATGTCGTCAACAACAATCAAATTGTACTGATAATATTTATCCAAATCTGAATGATTCACGTTTAATGTTTCCAACTAATTTGGAACATGTTAATGATATGTGCAAGTTAGTAGTTTTTTTTTGTTTGTTTGAAAATTCAAATTTAAAAATTCTTGATCGATTCTTGTTTATTTTGATTCTTATTTTGATTTTTGTTTTTTTACCACATTTTTCGATTCGTCCATCACCCAGAATGTGGAGCCATTTTGTCGATTGTATTCGTCGTTATATAAGTCATTGTTTTGAAGAAAATCGACGACAATTATTTCATAAATCAGTGGAAAATTCTATCGATACTGTACATGCAATTTGTAGTTCAAAATTATATCAAAAAGAATATTTATCAAAAGCAAATTGTTTTAAACAAATATCGATTGATTATTGTGGTCAACAATATCAACAATTGGTAAATAATATTGCCAATCCAATGGCTAATGATGAAAATATTTGCTGGTAAATAAAAAAAAATTCTTGTAATTTTTCTTTTTCTTTGATGATTACATTCCATTCGTTTTTTTTTCTCTTGTTTTGAATGATGATCATGATCATATATAGCACTTATGCTCAATTTAAACAATGCGTAAATCGTCCATTATTAGAAGAATGTGGCCGTAAAGCAAAAAATCTAATGGATCATTCAATGAGTTTTCTTATATCACGTTGTCAACATTATACTGATAATTTTAATAGGTATTTATTTTCCGGCAAAATTGATTTGATTTTTTGATTTTGTTTACCGAATCGATTTTTGTTTACTTCCATTTTTTGTTTCGATTTTTAGCCAAATTGAATGTCCATCACTATCGAATATCGAATCGAAAATCAATTCGAAAATTATGATCAATGATGAAAATCATCATTCAAATTCGATTGATTCGAATTCATTGATTGATGATAATCATCAATCATCATCATTACCACCACCAGTATATCCTGAAAGTCGTGAATGGCCTGCTGCTGAATCAATAAATTTGGATAGCAGCAACAGCAACATCAATCCGAACAGCGATATGATCAAAACAATTGAACAACATAATAATCAAAATAAACGTGAATTAATCGAAGCAAATATTGGTAATGTTCATAATACATTTGTTGAAGATGATGATGATGATGATGAAGATAATAATGATCATCATCATAATCCAAATGAATTACCATTAATCGATCCAGATATGATTATCTATACAATGAAACCTGAATCACAAATATATCAATCATCATCGGCGACGATAATATTGAATTATCAATGGTTAAATTACATTATCATCATTATCAGCCTAATCATCAATACATTTTTCAACTAGAAAAACAAACAAAAAAGCATTATTCAAAGCAATATTTATGTTGTCTCATTTTTCTTTTTTTCCATTATTATCAATGGTGGTGGTAGTTTTATCCAAATTTTATATCTAACTAAAAATTCTTCATTCATTCATTCATTCATTCTTTATGAAAATTAATTGATAAATTCCTTAATGAACTCTGCTATTTCACAGAGAGAAACAGCTTTAATCTTCCCATCATTTTTTTCCTCCGAAAATGTTTCTATCATTCGTTTTACATTTTGTTTTTTGTTTTTTTTTTCGTCTAATCAAATTCATTCATCCATAAATACACACACACACAGTGAGATAATTTCTTTTGAAAATGTGGCTAAAAATCATCATCATCATCATTTCTTAAGAATTAATATTTCACGAAGAAAACAACAACAAAAAATTCTTGCTATATGATTATTAGTTGATTAGAATTACAAACCAAACCAAATAAAACATGAACGAAGATAAATTGATGATGTATTTAACCCCCTTCTCCCTCCCTCTTCTCCATTCCCTCAAAAAAAATTATTACCAATTTTTTTTTTATTACATTGTCCATTTTTTTTCCTGTTGTTATTAGTTTGGTCAATCGATCGGTCGATCGATCGATCTATTTATCGGTGTCGGTTGGATGGTTATAAAAAAATGAACAAAAAAAAAATATTTTTTCTTCATTTTTTTTCAATTTTCCACTTGGTTTGTTACATTGGTCGGGTGGGATTCACATTTCATCCCTCTCCTCACCACTCTCCCCCTCCAAAAATTCAATGATTATTCAGCGCTTTCAAACGATAATTGCATTTTTTTTGGAAGCCATTTTGGATGGGGGAAAAAATGAATTTTTTCTTCAGATGAATCCAGCTCGGTCACCACCACCATCTTTTTGAAATTATTTTTAGATGATGATGATATGGTCATCATTAACAACCGTATGGCCTTCTTCGGCTTCGAAAAGAGAAAAATATTTTTCTTTTTTGGCCAAAGAAATTAATTTTCACATTTTTGACTTTCAAAATTCTGTTTACTTGCTTCTTCTGATGGCTAACAAAATTACCAAAAAAAAAACTTGGAAAAAATATGTTTGTTTTTCGCTTCTTGAAAACTTTTTTTTTCTTTTCATTTTTCTTCTCCGTTTCGCAATGTTGATGATGATGAATTCTCTGGACAAACCTAAAAAGAAAAGAATTTAATTTAGAATTCAGGAATGATTCAGAAGGAGAAAGCACCAGACGAAGAAAAATTTATTCTACTTTTACGAATTTTCATTAAAAAGTTTCATTCAGGTTCGGTCGAGAGAAAGAAAAATTACAAATTTTTCTTGGTCAAAATTTTTAAATATATTTTTTTTATTTCGCTCAAAAAAGAAAACAAAATTCTTCCCAAATTTTTCAAAGTAAAATTTTCATCTTTTTCACTTGACATTTTTTGGTTTTACAACAACAATAACAATGATAACGATGATAACGATAATAAGGCTCTTGTAGCATGTAGTAGGTGTGTAAGTAAACAAATGAAATGAAATGATTTTTCCTATAAATCAAAAAAATTGAAGAAGAAAAAATACCTATGATTTTTTTTTGTTTGGTTGAAAAATTTTCAAAGTTGTTACATCATGTATTCACCATCATTCACCCTATTGAACATCAATAGAATGGAATGTTGTATTTCTGCTTGAAATATTTTCTAATTTTTCGTTTTTGCTGCTCGACTAAAATTCTCTACACAAAAAATCTGGAGAATCTAAAGAAAACTAACCGTTATATACCTTAGGGTTTTTTTTGATGTTGGAAAGAATTTTGTTTTTTTTTTGCCATTTTCTGTTCAAGAAAGTTGTTGTTGTTGTTGAAAACTATTGGTATTTCTCAACAACAACAACAATATCAATGACAACCAAAACAACAACAACAACAACATATACGTTTTAAATAACCGATTATTTTTCCATGTCATGTTTTTCAATTTCTTTGAAAACATTTTCTGTTGTTGTTGTTGTTTGTGATTTAAAAATGTAAAGTTAAATATATAGGGATAGAAAAAAAAACGAAAGAAAGATAATGAATAAATTGATTGTGCGCATCGTCAGTGATGATTGATTGATTGATTTGATTAAGAAATATTGTTTGTGTGTGGGTCGGTGTCTGGTAGAATAATTTAGTTAATTGAAAATAATTAAATTAAAAACGAGAAAAAAGAAGAAATTCTCGCTTTGTTGTTTTCCAATGAATGTTATTGATTGTCATCATTTTCTGTTGTTGTTGTAGCTGGTGTTGATTTACGATTTTTTTGAAAACCACGATATGATGATTGAATTTTTTGTGCTGCACGTTCCAAATCTGGATCATTTAGATCAATTTCGGCCTGTTGTTATTGTTGTTGTTATTGTTTTCACCAATTTTAATTAGGAAATGAAGAAAAAAACAAAACAAAACGAAAATAAAAAGTTTTTGTACAGATCGATCGATCGATCGAATCGAATATACTTACTAACGATTCATCGATTGTTGTTGTTTTCGTATCTGATTGATTTGTTTGATCATTTTTTTCATCATCATCATCACCACCATCATCATCATTGGAAACTTTTTCAGGCGGAATATTTCCAGAACTTTGTTGCTGCTGCTGCTGTTGTTCAGGTTCTACAATTTTATTCTTATTTTTACCGGCCATAAATGTTTTAAAACCGGCCTGTATTTTTACAGCTGCTCGACCAACTTCCGGATCATTTAGATCAATATCAATCTATAAATAAATAGAAAAATAATAATAAAAAACCCATTTTTATTACTACAAAATACAAATAACCAAAACCAGAAGTAACCAAAACAAAAACCATAACAAATAAAACTTACCTCTTCTTCGGCCATTTTATTACTTTTATTATTGCTTCTTTTTTGGTCGTTTTGGTTATTGTCGATTTGATTCAAACTGTGAACGTTTTGCAATTCGGTTGTTTGATTATCGTCGTCGTCGTCGTTTACAATTTCAGTAATTTTTGTTTCGTTAAAAATATCTGTTTTCAAATAAAGAAAAAACGAAGCAAAAAAAGAAGCAAAATGAAATTGAATTGAAAAATATCCAACAGGAAAAACGATGACACACTTTTTGAAAGTAACAGTAAAAGTTAAAGGGAAAGGGAAAAGAATCGATTGACATCCCAAGATGATTGGAATGAAAACAAAACAGAACAGAACAGAACAGGAATCCAGAATAATTTTCCACCAAAAAAGAAAAGAAAAATTCTTTTCATCATTTCTTGTCTCGCACATCATCATCATCATTATTATTATTATTTTGGGAAAATGAAAAATTATTCAACGGAATAAATAAGCACACACACACAATATTTGCGAAAAGAGAAGAAATGTTACCTTTTTTTTCTATTTCTATTCAACAGAAAAAAAATGGAAAACGAAAATTCTTTCCACTTTAAATAAAAGTTATTAGATATAAAATCCGGTTGCATATATAACCAGAGAAATATAAGTTATTGAATCAATTTTTCTTTCTTTCTTTGGTTCATTTAATTCCATTATTATCATCATAATGATGATGATGAACAAACCATAAAGAAATAACAATAACATTGAATGAATGAAATGAATGGCAGAAAAACTTTTTTATTCTGTGTGGAAAATCGAAAATAAAGACGATAAGAATCGTGTGTGTTTGTGTCGGTTTGTGTAACAGAATTCCCTGTGTGTGTGTGTATGGATAATCATTATGCTTTGTATTCATTTTATACAGGGTAGAAAGAGAAGAAAAATTACCTGTAATTTTCTTTCATATAGCCAAAGATAACCATACAAACATTCATTACCCACATATATATCACATCATTTTCATTTTTAGTTTGATGTGGTTCTCGGTTTTTGGTTATTTTGAATTTATCTTATCTTTTTTATTTTTCTGTTATAATCATAAAAAGTTATGGTTATATTTTTGTTGTTGTTGTTGTTAGATGTTTTTCTCTTCTTTTCTTATTTATTTGAATCGTGTGTAATTGAGAAATGAATGAAAAAAAAATATTTACAGAAAATTTTTTGTTATGTTTGCTTTGCAATGATGTTCATTAATTATAATTTAACCTAGATTCAAAGTCTGAAAACAGCGAAATCCCAAAATGAAAAAAAGTTTTTTTTTTGTTTTGTATTTAATGATTCAGTCGGTCATCATTATCATTATCATTGTATGACGATTA